GCAACTGTTCAGCGTTGGCTTTCATACTAACAGCATGAGATGCCAATCTGAACACAAAAAGGCAGCCTACCTGCAGCCCATGGAGAAAAACATAGCCACAGTGCAGCAGAACGTACTGACCTTACGTTGGCATGGAGACCTCTGCTATGTTCTGGTCATAGCCCATTGGAGCTGGGGCCTGGGCCATGACCTGCTGGGGTTGGTTCATACAAGCTTGTGTAAGGATGAGCTCTGAAACTCCCCTGCAAGTCCCTCAGCAATTGGAGCAACTTGCTCCTGGCCCATGAGCCCATCCTGCCTGGCCACCCTGTCTGTAACTCTGTGGGGCCTTGTCCAAAGAGCATGCCTCCCCATGCACAGGAGTCTAGCCCTGGGTGATGTCTTGTCCTGTTCTTTTTCCTTTTTTTTTTTTTTTCCCCTCTGCCTTGAGGAGAAGGAAAACCACGGGGAACGACACGCCACCAGATAGGGATGCTGCACATCATTGCACAAACGTTGTTTCTTAGAAAGCAGTTGGGGGATTCCAGGCTTATTGACATGCTGCTGCTGTGGGATCAAAGCATCTGTGTTTGTACTGCAATTACCCTGCGTGCTTTTCTTTTTCTTTTTTTTTTTTTTTTTTTTAATCACTCTTGTTTAGGGACCAGTAGTGATTATGTAAACAAGTGATGCATTACCAGCCTCCTGACTTCATAGTTGATTTTTTTTTTTCAGAAAAAGAAAGAACACACCAAAGCAAAACAAAAATTAAAATTAAAAACTAACTCCCCACTAAAAAAAAAACAAAACAAACAAAAAAAAAAGGTTATGAGTGCTATCTCTGTAGTGCCTAGGAACCTGAGGTGCTGAAAAATAGGTGCTGAAAAATTAAACTGGCTGTGGCTTTTAGTGCTGATTTGGCACATCTTGCTCCCAGGTCTTCAGCAGAAGATAGTACCAAGGAATTAGTGGCAGAGCTGGGGATGTAATCTTGATTTTGCTATTCCCAAACCTTTCAGCTTAATCCCCTCTTAGAGAGGACACATGCATTGAATAAAAGTTTATTGTTTTAAAGCTACACTGTAGACTCATCTGTTGAGAAAAAAAATTTTTTTTGAACTTTATGGACTTAACTGCATATGGGTAGAAAGTTGCATACACATTTTTCTCAGCCAAGGAAGACCATAAATTGGCTGCATTTACTGACAGAAAAAGGTGCTGCTAAGGCAAACATTCGATTTCCTGCTGAGATGCTGTGAATCATAAAGCACAAAGCAATACATACTGAGTTTTTATTCCTTTGTAAAAATACTGGGGTGAATTTGTTGCCTGGAAGAAATGAAATGTCCTGAGATGGTGAGAAATACCTTAGTTTGTTGTTTGCTGGCATAATGTGTTTTGGATAGCTTTCCATTATATTATCTTAGGCAGAGTTGGTGAGATTTTATCAATTTCTCATAATTAATATAGGTTTGTTTTGAGGGAATGGTATTTCTAATACAGCAAAGGGTTATTTTACTTTCCTTATTTTGCTCTCATTTATCTTCACATCTCTCTCACTGACTTTTTATTTCAGCACCTTTTGCTTTTCATGGGTCTTTAGTTCCATTAAACATCCAGCGCTAATTAGACGCTGTTGTCTAAACTGTAGCAAACACTTCACTCAAAATCAAAGAGCATTTAATTAGTTAGTCTCCAGGTTACACCCTATCTTGCAATGTTAACGCAAATGAACAGTTGAAATGCTTGTTACAGCCTCGCAAGAATGTAAAAAAGGTTCTTTAATGGCAATCAAGATTTCTGTTTCACTATTGATGAATGATGGCATGACAAGTCCTTGCTACTCAGAGGGCTCCTGGGCTGTTTGCATTAGTGGGAAGGCAGGGGAGCAGTAATGCTTATTTCTGTGCTTTCCCAGGAAAGGCTCTAAGGGATCAGAGCCAAAGGGGGGAGGCAGCTGAAGCCCTGTGCTGGTACTGAACACCTGAGTTGAGGGATCGGAGCCAAAGGGGGAAAACCTCGGACTCTGCACAGCCCGCCACTGGAATGAGTAGGATCAAGTGGCCACAGTGCATCACTCCTGCAACTTTTTTGGATCTCTGGGTTCTTATTCTGGCATTTAAATGGGAATCAATGCAGTGCAGAAACAGTTGCTAATCTAATAATATCTTTCTAATGAATATAGCAGTAGGACACCAAAATTCAATCTATCTATATATCTTAGAAGCAGTCGTGGTATTTGAACAGATAAATCTGTTTTTTAGCAACAGTCGGAATTAGCACTTTAGAAAAACAGGTGTTTCACTGATAACTGCTGCAAGGTTTTAGCAGTGTTACATCTCAAGGGAGCTGCTGAGAATGTTAGAGCGTAGGTCAGATCAGCCAATATTAAAAGAGCAGCCTTAAACATCTTTGGTTTCCAGTGAAACAGACACTGTTTTCTATTTGTACTTTGGGCAGAGGCAAAGTGAAGACCACGTGGCATTCCATCATTACTCTTCAGAGCTCTGAAACCCCGAAATTCCTCGGCCTGGCATCTATAAATAGTGTTCAGTGCTTTACACTGCAATTAGGACAAAGCTGGAATTTGAATTTGGTCAATTCTAGAAGCTCAGTGAAGGCTTCTAACCTAGCCAAGCTTTATGCACTTGTGTTATACAAAGCACGCTTAAAATTTCATCTGAAATATTAATTAATTTCATTATTCATTAAAAATTACAGTCATGTTTGTTAAGGTTGAATTTCTAGGCAGATCACAGAGATGTATAGTTTTCTATCATATCATTGATAGGGCCCCCATTTTGTGTTCCTTGCCCAGTTCACAAGAATTGATCTTTGGCATCTATCTTGCTCTCGCTTTACTTGAACAAAGTGTCATTTCCTGTGATCTACTATTACAGCAGACATGCAGTGCATAGTTCAGCATAGCAGTGTGCAGGGTAGAAAACATCTATCAAACAGGGAACTTAGGAATTTAAAAGCTCTGATTAAAAGCATCCATAGAAGACAAGGCCTTCTTCTCAAAATAAAAGAACCCATTTGGGTTTTGGTAAAAGCTTGTAACCCCATGAGCCCTGCACTGGATTTGGAACATTTTGCACGTGTTGGAATTGATGCAGGCTTTTTTGGTTTGATTTTTGCTGCCATAAGAAAGGTGGAATTTTATTATAGAGAGACAGGGGACATCTGGGGTTGTAGCTTATATACCTGCCAATGGAAAGGTAAACTACAGATTGTCTCTTCAATTTACTGACTGGCATCACTAGAAAGAGGTAGCTTTTTATATTCTCTGAAGAGAGGAAATAAATCATTACAGTACATCCCTGAAGAATAATTCTGACACTTCATCTGACCAGTCTGAACCAATGCTGATTTTATGAGGCTAAGACTGGTCAGGGATAAAGATATATTAGTCTTCCATGTGAGTATTTAATTGGTCCTGAATGAAACAGGAATTGCCCTAATATTTGACTAATCCAAATTAAGCTAATTCATCATTATTTTATTAATGTTAGATTTAGAGCAAGCCTTGGATCTTCCTTCCAAATTAGAGTCATGAACTTCATGCTGACACAATTTAACCTGTCTCAGATCATTAGCAGGACTGAAACCCAAAGGCTGCAGTTAGATGGAAAGATGGGTGTGCTTCGTGGCATGCTTCCTTGTCTGGGTCTCTCAGCCATCCAAACTGAGATTGTCACTGATGTGAGCAACACCAGTCTGCCAGTGTGTGTGACTCCTACTCTTACCTTATGAGCCAATGCACAGGTAACCACACAGATCCTGAAAACTTACCTCAGTAAGAGGTTGTGACACAGCTGAAGAATGTACCTCGACATAGACACCCGAGAGCTCAGAAATGTCCATGGTTCACCCAGCCAAGACAGCCTTTTTCTGATGCTTAAAAGGCAGAGCCATAATCAAAAATGCCTCTTCTGACTTGAGATAATGATAAGAATGAAGATGTTGACAAATGCCAAGGTGTCAGTGAGGTCATTTCTGAAATAGGTCTCAGCACTGGAATTGTGCCACAGCTTGGATCATCTCACATAGACAGCCCTTAAATGCATAAGAGCCCACTCCTGCTTTGCATGTTCCACTGAAATAGGTGTGATATGAAAGCTTATGGAAGACTGGAAGCGAAGAAAACTTTTCTTCCATCCCTCTACCGACACTTCCAAGGTTAGCAAACAGCAGCAATCTCCACACGTGGTATTTTTGATATTTGAAAGTTGTTTGCTTTAAAAGTCTTCTTTCTTCCATCTTCTCCCACCAGAGGTGCAGAGGTTAACTGACAGATCTGCCTGTGTCTCTGCAACCTCTCAGGAATCTTCCCAAATTTACTTCAAAATAAGCTGATAATGAAAGATGGACGATAATTCACTCAAGTGAAAGTGTTTAGAAGTGTGTGGATACTGCATGCAAGATATAGAGAAAAGACGACTCAAAAATGCATAGATTTAAAAATTCTGTTCAGATACCATTTGTAGAAAAAGAAACTAAAATATAATACATCAGAGATATAACACTGGACGTGTTCTCTGGAGATAAAACCCTTCATCCTGATTTTGTATCTTTGGAAAAATTCAGGGCTCTTTTAGCTGGCGTGATTCTTTATTAACAAAGAAAAATTGTTCAGATGGTAAGCACATATTGCTTCTTCCTCTCTCTTCTATTTATTTTTAATTAGACTGTTAGATCCACTTTATCAGAAATATGCATGGTGTAAATTCAAGAAACCATTTGTTTTTTTAATTCCCTGATCTTGTAATATTCTGCTAGGCTTGTGTTTTTACAACCAAGCAGTTAAAACCCCACAGACACACCATCCCCAACTGCCTGTTAGGAAGATGCAGGGTACCAGCTGCAGGAAGACTGGGACCCACCCGAAATAAGGAAGTGATGGCAAGGTGCTGCAGGGCAGCCATTGGCAGAGGTAAGATGGGTGTGATGGGCAGTGCTCCTGTGATGCCTGATCAACTCCTGACACACCACAGGGCTGGAAACAGGCCCCAGCTGCAAGAGAGGCCACATAAAAGGTGTGAGCTGGGATGCGGCGCTGCCTTCTGGGAGACCTAGTTGGATGACTGACAAAAATCTATTACAGAGGAAGGGGCGAGCATGACTAAAAGGTCTCATGGCATTTATTCTGACAGGATGATTAATTTCTCATTACTCATCCAGAATGGGAACATCTGAGGGGAATTCAGGGAAATGTTTGATTCTTTCAAACATTGATTATTTGGAGAGGAGCTTTTGCATAAATCCAACACTTTTTACCATCTTACTTTTGAACTGCTGCAGAGAGAGCTTTCTAATCTCCTTTTGGAGGTTCTTCAGAATCAGTGCTATCAGGACCCCACAGTTCAATGCCAGGAGCCAAATCCTTAGTCACCTCAGAGTGTCTAATTTACTAGGGCCATGCTGAACCCTTTCACACAGCCAGTTCTCCCATCTCCTCTTCCTCCTCCACTTTTTCCTCCTTCCTCCTCCTCCTCTTTTCCTTCCTTCTCCTTCTCCCTCCCCTCCTCCTTTTCCTCATGTGTTCTGGGTGCCTACTGGTCCTGCTGATGTGCTGGGATTAGGAAGAGGAAAAATTTCCTGTAAGAGGAAAAATCATGATTGTTACCCTGCAACACTGCTTGGCTCCAAGGGTTTTTACCTGATAGCCACCTGGATAACAATTTTGACTTCTCCCTACAAGGGAGCACTTTACTTTGGACGAGTCTCAAGAAACAGAATAAGTACACTCTGCTTTACTTTTGATGATTTCTACCTCACAGGGCTCTAGCTTTTATGTCCTGCGTCTCAAGTGCTGTTCAGAAAGCTCTGTGTGTTTATGCCATCAACAGCAGTTGAGCTTGAGAGAAAAAGGGAAAGCTGGGACTGTTCTTTCACCTTTAGTAAGATCACACACAGCAATGGCCACACTGAATCAGGTAAGTCCCATGAATTTGATATGCTGTCTAGGTAGCAAGAGCCTAAGCAAAAAGTCAGTATAAGAACAAGGCAAACACAGCAAGGGAATTTTCCAGCTGGACTATTTCTGTTGGAGGGGGGCAGGAATCGGATCTGGACATGGTGAGAAAAGGAGAAAATAACAGAAAGTGAAGAGCGTTAACAAAAAAGCCATTCAGCACAGAAGGCATGAAGGAAAAGAGGAGGAATTGTGGAAATGGAAGATGATGGAAAACAGTCCATGAGGCAGACAGAGCCGCAGGAAATTGGTAGGGATAATAGACATGGAGGAAGGATGGATGAATGGAGCAGTCAGAGAAGGAGCACATGGTCAAAGGAACTGAGCATATGCCAGCGGGTAATGAAAATAGCCAGTCTATTACTGGCTGTGCATATAAGAGAAGGGAGTTTAAGAATACACTTCTAATGTTTATGTACTTAGAGAGCTGTGGCTTTGAGAAATTTTAAAAGTCTCATCATTTTTTATCTATCTCCCTCTAAATACATTACAAATCTGGGATTTCACCTGCGTGCCTCTGAAGAGAGGCAGAGTAAATGCAAACATGAGAGAAACTAAGAGCTGACTGTCAGTTGGCAGCTTCTCTGATAGCTCTGTAAAATCAATGGGTTTTACAACTCTGCTCCCCGATGACATGGAAACCTCAGCTGAATAAAAACAGCAGGGTGTTTTTCCCTGGGGTCAAAATATTGCATTGCGGTCCTAGGACATTGGAGGAATCTTCTAGAACCAAAAGGATAATTTCTGAAGGGTTGATCGTTTCCCTTGTCTCTGACAGACACTTCCTGCCCCACAGTAATTGCAGCTGGTGATTAGTGCCACAATTTTTAGGACAAGCTGCACAAGCTAGTTAGAAATGATGGATACATTTTTCCCTATTTTACGAAATCATCTTTTTTTCTCCACAAAATGCTTGTGTGTCCTGGAATTGTGGTGCCTGCCTGATGTTTGCAGGTTTTTACAATGTCTTTGTGTAAGACATATGACTATGCTGACTGTAAGTGAGTTCAATTTTATTAGGCAGTAGCTGTATGCTCTAAATTCAATTTCTCATTGGGGAAAAAAAAAAAAAAAAGGAAAGAAAAAAGAACAAACAACTTCAAAGCTGCATAAAAAACTGTTGTTTCATGGCTTGTGCAAGCATCTGGATAAAGGAGCTCTTCTTGATGAAGAGGAGTATGTGGACATTTGTAGAAAAAAGGTGACAGAAGCTCACAGTAAATGTCCAAGAAACCAAAGCTCTCAGCTTTTTGTTCATTATAATTCCAAGGCAGTGTCATGTGGAAGTGCTAGACTGTAAGTTATGTGGGTGTTTATATTAATTAACTTTCTACACGCTGTGCTGATGTTCAGCTGGTATTTCCAGGGATTGCCACAACATAAGTAGTACCAGGAACACTACTATTAATAATAATATAGGATTATTTATTTATTTATTACATTTGCCTGCTATAAGTAGTTTATTTAAAAACCTTTCAGTGTGAAGTAAAATGTTTTGGGTAAATGTAAAATTCCTGTGTGCACACCACCTCAGCATTGCCTTCTGGCTCAGAGCCAATACTGGTCACTGTTTAAAGTCTGTAAAGACAAGCCCACTCTGAATTATTCTAGGGAAGGAACTATTGCATTGTGAAAATAGGTGTCCACCAGCAGTGAGTGAAACAGCAGTCGCCATATATTTCTAGGGATAAAGTGGTTTTGTCTTGTTTTGTTTTTTGAGTTCTTGCCATGAAAGGCCAAGAAGCCAGTACTTGTGCAGACTGGTTTGAGCTCTTCATTGGAAGTGGAATATAAAACAAAACAAACAAACAAGCCAAAAACCTTAAGAGTCTTCTTGTTAACAGAGAATGGGCTGTTCTGTGGGAGAAGTTTATCTCTTACACCTTCTCATTCTGCTACTGAGGAAAAAGAAGCTAAATGTTTAGACTGAATTCTGGTTACAGAACTTGGTCTGAGAAAAACAGCCTTGATGTAGATATTTATTCCGATTTCTATTAAATTTGCTTCTCTGTTACATTCAGAAAGTGATCTAGTTATCATAGTCCTGATCTTAAATTAATGCCTGTAAATTTTTATGGGAAAGGAAGCAAGAGTACCACAGTAAATAAGGTAGCTACTCTGTTTCAAATGTGATTTCAAATCCAAAATAATTTAATTTCATGACTAAAAAAAAAAAAAGAGAGAGATGTTTCATCAGCTAGGTTCTTTTATTTCCCCTTTAGATAGACTCAATGAGCATTTATATTATTATAAAAATGAATATTCTGAGTATACTTTGGACCGAAGGTAGTTTTTGTATATTTGAAGTTTCATTTAAAATTAAAGTGTTGCTTTGTTTATATAAACGATTGATACATTTCATGTTGTAAACAATATTCTTTTTACATTTAGATTTCATATGAAATTCCATATTGCCATGTTTACGTCAGTCTTCATTTTCTGTTTCTTTTTTCTGTGATAGAGCTTTTGCTTAAATACATCTTAATTCCTCACAAATGGTGTATTTTCAAATTTTTGTCTACTGACAGCGTATGAAGAAAGGGCAAAGGCTTGTTTAGCCTAGAGATGAGAAAGCAAAGGAAATGAGTCTGCAGCTTTTGACACCCTAATGGGAAATCTATACAGAAAATAAAGCCAAACCTTTCTTAGAAGTGCCCAGCAGAAGGACATGAGACAAAGGGCACAGTTGCTTTCACTAAACAGGAGGTAAGTGTTCTTCCTGGTAAGAGAAGAAGTAAGCTGGAAGAGGTTGCCCAGAGAAGATGGGGAATCTCCATCCTTGCAGATTTTCAGAAGTCAGCTGGGCAAACCCACCTGTAACCTGATCTGGCTTTGAAGCTCACTTTGCTCTCAGCAGGGTGTGAGACTGGATGACCTTCAGGTGTCCTTTCCAATCTAAATTTTCCATTTCATGAAAGGGTACTTAAAGTAGTTAGTGATCCTCTTTTTTTTTTTTTTTTTTTAATAAGGAAAATTCAATCATCAGAATACTTAAGTCAGTACTATTCATTAGTTAGTACAGTTCATGAGAGCTGACATAATATGTACTAATATCTGAATTTCTAACCTCTATACATAAGTTGATTTATTTGCAGAGTTTACATGAGCTTATCTTCCTTTAGATGCTGAGTTTTGTATTTATATATTCTTCACTTCACACTCACCTTTAGATAAGGGAGTATTTTCAAACTTTGTCTCATCACCATTAAATTCCTTGGGACTTTTTGCCAACGTACTCTAGGTATGGTCACACATTTGCAGCGTTTTACAAGGAAGTATAAAGAGCTCTATTTACCTTAACTAATAGCCTAGTTCTGCAAATATTTACCTTTGTATATGAGAAGTTACATTCATTTTAGTGAATTATTCACCTTTTGCCCTGGTGGAAACCTTAGAAAAGTATTTGAGAGTTTGCTTCTGTGTTTTACAAAAGTACAGAAGTATTAGCTTGCACTCAATAAATTATTTATAGCTATGTAATCATGTGCTATACCCTCATGCTGTACATGAATTTGAATTTCCTTTTCTAGCTGAGCGTCACAAATACCTTAATTGAATTTTATTATTTTCAGACTCTTCCTCCAATTCATCCACAAGGTGATTATCCTTCAGAATATTTATGTTTATGTCTAGTTTTGTTTCAAACATCAAATATATCATTGTGGTTCAAAACACTAAGTACTCAGCTATCCAGAGCAAAGGCCTGCAATGCTTCCTTAATATGTCAAAAATGAGTCAGTAATGGTAAAGGTAGGAAACAAACAAACAAAAAGAAACAACCTCTAAAGATTCCTGAGTATATTTTTATCTAGGTGTAAGTTAGCATTCAGCTACAATCTGATTTATCCCACTCCACACAAAATGACTATATACAGCATCTCACGGTATAGAAAATGGGTGACCATAGCTTTGCAAAATCTACCATTATCTGACAATGTAATCCATTAGCTAAGCATATATTTTAATAGCATACACTTCAGACCAGAAGTTCAAGGATGAAACATTTTTCGTATACTGGTGCCCTGGATGAAGAGGGTGCCCTCTGTTTGAAGGATACCTAAACTGATTTAGTTAAAATATCCTTTACATTTGCTAAACAAACTTGCCATTGCTATGATGTATCCTTTTTGGCAATAAGTATTGCATTTATGTCATATTACGTGAATAATACAGTCTGACATGGTGAAACTTGCCAGGACTCTCATTTTTTTCCCTCATAGTGCACCTGAAAAGATGCTGGGAAAAAAAAATGCTAGGGAAAAATGGTATTTTTCTGCCACGTATCTCATCTGGACTTGATTCTTCTGAATACAAGTTAGAAATAACTTCTATCCATTTTGCTGGAAGCTGCTACAAACTTAACCTGAAAAGCAAAAATCTGGTCCTTACCCTTCACTACCAAACTGCTTACAAGGAAAATTCTACTAACTTGGTAGCAAACATTCCCTCCATAATGTGTTTATTTAGATAGTGACTGCAACATTGCAATCCTGTATATCAGTGAAGCTTCTAATATGTGTTCTCTTTACTATCTTCTGAATTTGAAAAGCAAAGCTGAGATTTAGTTTGGAAATGCTGGAGATGATCCATTCACATGGAGCACTACAGAAGCTAGATGCATTGTGTCTAATTCATTCTAATGAATTCCAGTCACAGTGTGGCTTGATTAACTTTGCCGCAAAAGTGGTGGTCTTTATTTGAATGGCAAAGTATGAGAAGCAAGGAGGAGTGCCCTGTTCTCACTTGTCACCTGCATGATTACATATATACCTGTGGTTACATTTATACATAACATAGAGGTGAGAAGATACTTGCTGTGTATCTCAACTAGAACAGCACGTTTCAGATTTTCCCTGGGAGGCTCATCCCTTCTCATGTGGTCCATTGGAAGGTCACTGACTGTTCCAGGGCCTAGAAAAGAGGAAGAGAATTTGCACGCCGAAGAGCTGGGTACAATACCTAATGAAGAAAGCCAGGATGTGTGGTGTTACTTCCTTTCTGCTGTTTATCCTGGAACTTGAAGGCAGATTTACCTGTACATGTTTTAGCTCACCCATACTATTAGTCAGCCTGTGTGCCTTTCATTTACCAATTGCTTGTGCTTTGGCTCTTTGTTTAAGCACAGACTATTTCCAGTGTATGTCAGGAAAGCCTGTGTATTCAGGGAAAGCTTCCCCCACCTTGTGATATATTAACATCTTAATTAGTATCTGTATATAATGTGAGCATAAATAGTGTACTCTGCAGAGATAAGCTAAAAGCTAAATATAAGCTGAAATAGTGTCTCTATTCCACCACTGAAATTAATCTGCAAATACTGTAAGAAATATTGTTTAATGTTTTACTATCTTACTTAATAGCTCTACATATAAGATACAAATGACAAGTGGAGCCTTACAATCAGCAAACACACACTTAGGCTTGAGCTGGATCAAAACTGTAGTTCAATATCTGAGGAATTAACAAATTTAACATTTAATAATTTTTAATAATCATTTTGCATGTAACAGGTTTTCAAGCTGACTTTGCTGTTATCACTCAAAACATGCCTCCATCTCCTGCTCCTCCACTTGGAGATCTTCCTCCTTCAGTCTCAGCATAGGGCCTCAGGCTATTGCCTACCCCTCCCAGTCTGGTGTCACCTGGGAACTTGCACAGGATGCAGCCCACCTTGCCACTGAGGGCATCAGCAAAGATACCGTACAGTACTGGCCCCACAATCAACCCTGAGGAATGCCTTTTTCAGTAGCCACCAAACCTCTACACAACTCTTCATAAAGACTTGCTCTGGTGTGTTCCCAGGGACTGAGGTGAGGAGGATGGGTCTTTTCCCCTATGGACCTCTCACCTTTTTTTTTGAGGTCTTTTTTAAGGACATAACGGTTTATTAATATTATTTATTTATTTTTTTATTTCATTGTCGCCTAAAGCTCTGCTGTATCTGCTACCAGGTGAACTCCTTTTTTGAAATCAAGGTCAATGCCAAACCAGAGACAGTTTCATAACACTGTAAGCTGAGGCTGAACTCCACAGCCCTGAGGGTCTATGCACAGGTTCAGAGAGACACTCAGGACTCTGCCCTCTTACAGATGGGAGGCACATGGTTTGCCAAGCCACAGCTGAACCACAATGTTTGCAATACCTTAAAAAGCCCTCCCAGACCCTTCTGAAACCCACAGATGAAACCGATATAATTCTGTATGTGCTGTCAGTAAGCCCGACGAATGGGGGCTGCACCAGCCAGTTTTCCCCATCTATCTCTGACACCATCAATTCCAGCTCCGCTTGCAGAACCTCCTTGCTAATTTCTCTGGCCTTGTCAGTCGTTCGCCAGGCCTGTGAAAAGAAGATAATTGCTGCTGCAATCTCTGTGTCGGGGCTGGGGAGAGGGTTTGAAATATTGCGTGGCCTGGAAAGAAAATAAGATACTGGATGAGAAGATGGGTGGAAGGAGATTTTAAAGGGAAAAAAGTGCTGTTCTTTTTCCCCTTTTAGTGTATGAATGTGTGACCCATACCCAGAGGCTGCATTATAACCGCTTTTAAGTATGTGACTTCTAAAAAACGCCCTGCAATAATACATGTACAGTGCTCTAGCTGAGGCTGTTGCTGTGTTAAACAATCCTGAGGTGAATCGCTACCAAGTCCGGAGGAGAAACCCGAGCCCACCCGCTACAGAGATCCCCCAGGCACCTTGTCACCACTACAACCAACCGAGTTACGGAAGGGGGGAGGCACGGGGGGCGCCCTCAGCAGCTCCCCGCAGCCTAATGCGGGCTGCCCCCTGCCCACAGCCTCCTGTCAGGACGCCGCGGGCTCCGGGCGCTGCCCCGCTCCCCCCGTAGCGCCACGGCCCCGGCTCCCTCCGAGGCGAGGCGACCTCCCCGGCCCCTTTGGGTCCCCCCCGGGGCGACGCCAGGCCCCGGCGGTGGCGGCGCTTCCCTCGGCGGCCTGGCGAGGGCGCCGCGAGCCCGGCGGTGCGGCCGGAGTAGGGCGGCCGCCCTCAGGCAGCCCCCGGCCGAGGGGCGGCGGGGCCGGGGCTGAGGGGAGCGAGGCTCGTCCCCGGAGCAGCCCCTCTCGGGGCGCGGTGCCCAGCTGGCCGGGACGCGCTGCCCGTCCTGCCGCTGCCCGCAAGGGGGACGGGGCGGCGGGAGGGCGTGTGGAGAGCGGGCAGCCCCCCTGCCCCTGCCCCTGCCCCTGCTCCTGCCCCAGCTCCATCCCCTGCCCCTGCCACAGCCCCTGGTCCTAGCCCCGAGCCGAGTAAAGGGGGCGGCCGGCGGCTGCTGCCTGTCAGCCCGCGACCCCCTCCAAAGTTGTGAGGGCGGCGGGGCAGGGGCTGGCGGCACGGGAGGAGGAGCAGGAGCGGGGAGAAGCCGCGCCGGGAGGAGGCGGAGGAGCCACCCGAAGCCCCCAGGGGTAGGGGAAGGAGGAGCCGGCAGGGAGGGGGCTCCGCAGAGGGGTCCCGCTGGCTGGGACCGGGGGGGTTCAGCCAAGGCAGCGGGGCAGGCGGCAGCGACCTGCGGGGGGCGGCTCGGCACCCCGGGGCCAGCCCTGCCGCCGGGGGATGCGCGGAGCCCGGCCGCCCGCTCGGCACCGCCGGGACAAGAGGGGATAACGGGGATCAAGGGGATAAAGGGAATAAGGGGGGTAAGGGGGATCAAAGTTGTGCCCGGCCGGCGCCCGGCTGCCTGCCCGCCTGGGGTAGGGGGAGCAGGAGGGGGAGCAGGAGGGGGGCTCGCTGCCGGGCTGATGCCGGCATCCCGGGGCGGGGATG